TGGCATATTGGCTCTGCACCAGCTGAAGACGGAGAGTCATGAGTCGCGCATTAATTTTGATAGGGAACTAATTGAGTTGGTTTAGGAGTTAATTTTTAATGGCAAAACCAGCTCTGTGAAGCCAACACTCTCCTTTGTTTACCCATCCAGAAGAAGTTATGGCTGTCTCCATGTTCTCTGAGCTGCCCATCTCTCACTTACCAGGTCTTGCTCAATGCAGCTACATTGATTGTTGCCACCTGGGTTTTTGAGCCACTATTGCAGTGCAGTGCTCTAGGTGTTCACGATGATGGTGCGTCACCATCACTATGATGGCGTATTTTCGATTGTAGCAAAGGTGATCCCACTGAACGTGGTTATCAGAAAGAACTATAAAATACTGTATTAGGCTATGTTTAGGGCATCTTTTATAGCCCTTCCCCATGTGGGGTGAACAGAGCAGATCCAGAAGAGGGCTGCTCCATCACAGTTACAGGTGCCGAATTGCACTCCTGTCTTGTCCAAATGCTAGATGACCTTCTTGTAAATGCCACGTACCACCAGTTCATGACTAGGAGCTTTCATACCTCACAATTCTGGTCCTGTTGCCATTAGCTGGTCACCAAAGGACTTGAGGAATGTGCTGGAAAAGCTGTTTTCATGATGTCTTTTATTGTGAAGAAGCTGCTGCACATCTTTTTTTGACAGAATGGGACCTTGAACCAATGGTGAGGTGACCAAGACGCCTCAGGATCTTGTTCCACTGCAGCCTTTGTCCACCTTCACAGCCGCTGATGTTCTAACATCTTCTTCTGCCTGTTCTACTGCTGGGGACGTGTTAGACCCATGGCTGGGAACTGGGTAGGCTTATTATAATGGTGACCTGTACTTGTCACATCACAGCACTGTCAAAGGATAAATGTGGCTTTTCAGGAGGGAAACAATCACCATCTGCTGTCTTCACTACATCCTGATGGTGCTGGATCTGCTTGGTCTGCGACTGCTTATTTATCAGACTTACCCCTGCTTATTTCACAGATAACCCTCTCTGAAGGTCATTCCACTGTACACCACCTCGGGACACACTGGGTAGTAGTACAGCTCTGCCCCACATTATTTGGGCATTTTATTGGGTAGGAAAAGGTGCAAAATCAAAGCCAGAGTTTTTACCATACATTTTTTTGTTTGGTTCTTTCCTCCCACAGAAAATTGTTAGTTCCACAAGGGACAGTTTTAGCAGTTCTCTTTGGGAACTGTCAGTCAACATCCAGAAAGTTGAGAGAGCATTTCTGATCCCTTCATCTGATAGAATTTCTTTTGTTGTTAGTCCACTCATCTGCATGAGGGTTGTCCACCCCAACAAGTTATGAAGGAGCCAGATCCTCAACCTTCCTTCTCGTCCCTTGTTTTCTCTGGAAAAGCTGTGTGTCAACTGTTTCAGGGTATCATTTCAGATTTCTGGATCCTTTAAATCAGTGGTCACCAACCAGTCAATCGATCCTGGAAACTCAGAGTCAGTCTGAGGCTGGGGCAGGCTGAGCCCCGTCCCTCCAGCCCAGCAGGTGGGGAGGGAAGGGTCGGGGGATTGAAGCCCCCATAGTGAGGGAGGGAGCAAGGCAGAGGCAGGAGGAAGGGGTCAGGTAAGTGTGGGCCCCGGTGGGGTGAGAGGACCGAGCCGGAGCGGGGTGCACCCCTGGAGGGCACAGGGGACATATGCCCCCTCATCTGCACGCGGAGCAGGGCAGGCTACTGCTGTGGGTTGGGGCAGGTGCCATGCCAGGCTCTTCATGCTGTGCTTGGGGTGGGCTGCTGTGCTGGGAGGAGGGTGTTGGGTGGCTACAATCCCCCCATAGCGACTCCCACCCCAAGCGTAGCTGAGCTGAGCCCCCCTTTTCCCTCCCCCCCCATGGGAACGAGCCTGGTGCGGCTCTGGCCCTAGCCCGCAGTGGCAGCCTGCGCCCCAATCTGTATACAGGGATGTTGAGGGAGTCTGCTGCGTGGGGGGGCTACCGCTGCTGGG